AATGAATAATTTGACAGTTTATCCAGCCTAGTGTAAAAGTCTAAGTGCTAATGAGAGATTCTGTTCCGCCCAGCTATTCCCACAGGTTCAATTTCATCTCAGACTGCTTTGTTGTTGGTAGAAACATGAAACCATAATTCTTAATTGATTGGAAAAATAACCGTCCAGAGAAAGACATGTGACATGGGTTTTCCTTGAATCTATTATGGTCCACAGTGGACCAGCAGCCACTGTAAACACCTGACATGCTTCAGCCAAAATAAAAACACTTCCCTGGATGTGAAGCACATTTAGAGTGTCTGGACCAAACCCGTGTGTGTGTGTGTGTGTGTGTGTGTGTGTGTGTGTGTGTGTGTGTGTGTGTGTGTGTGNGTGTGTGTGTGTGTGTGTGTGTGTGTGTGTGTGTGTGTGTGTGTGTGTCAGTACAGTGAGAAGCAGCCCTGGTTGTACAGTCAGTAACAACACTTCCTGGAGCATACAGTCAGCAGAGTGATGTCACTGGCCTTTACAGGTCTGTGTGTGTGTTCATCCTGGTCCTGCAGAATCTGTTAGAGTTACACAAAGTGAAACCAATTATTTAAAAAAAAGCACAACAAAACAAGAAGGAGATCAACTAAAGCAGATACAAATACAAGACAAAAAAGTGATGAGAAGAAATAAGTGTGCAAAAAATCCAAAAGGATGTAATCGTTCAGATCCAACACTAGTTTCTGCCAGATGGCGTTATTTCTCATTTGGCTCATTTGTTGTGCTGCATGTCTGGTGGATGTGTGTGTCGCTCAAATAAATAATATAATATTGATAATTGTTACGCTGAGTTACTCTGTCCAACAGTCATTAAAGGATTAGGAGACAAAAGGCTCCTGAGTATAATAGATGTGAAAAAGGTCTCTGTCCTACACAAGTGGGACACACAAAAGCCTCAAACCCTACAGCCAGCGACAATGTTTTGAACTATTATTTTTTCTTTTCATCTGTTTATGCTTGTCTTGTTTTGGATTATTTGTACCTTATATTTTTTTGTTTTACATTAAATTGTAGGTTTGCTTATTTAGTTCCCTTTTTATATGAATGTTTATGTTGCTAATACAGTCATTTATTTTACCTTGGTGTTTCACAAAATAACTCCACTGGATGGATTTTAATGAAACTTTCAGAAAAATTTACCTGGATTTAGATCCAAATATTGTTTAAAATCAATCCATCTCAAGATTGCGTCATGGCTGACTGACAGCCTGATCTCAGTCAGTTTGACAGATAATGGGTTAAAATTGAATGTGCTAGTAGTTGAAAGTCACAAATCAAACATTATTTGAGAGTGACATCATTGTATTACATGAGCTTGCACACAGTTTTATTTTCATTTATAACATAAGATGAATTTAGGCTAAAATAGGGGTTGAAAGGCAATGTGGGAATTAAATCTTTTCAGGCAATCCTTTGCTTCATTTTTCAAATTTTGTGTCAGGTCAATGTTTTTTTTTAATTTATTTTATTATTATTATTGTTTTGTTTTGTTTTGTTTTGTTAAAACGTTGTACACTTTAGATATTGTGGCATCAATTGAAAACAAGAAAAACGAGTATTTTAATACACACTTGTCCTACCAATAATGCTGATGGCTTCAGACAAGCAGTTAAACACAACTGTAATGAAGTTCCAAACTAATATAGAAACACATGCAGACTGTGATGGTTTACACACTGTTCTCATTTGGTAATCYAGACAGACAGTATTGACTTTAGCTCAGGGGAAAATTATTTGACATAGATTTACAGGCAGATGTTCCCGAGCTGACTGAGGTGGCATTTATCACTGACATCCTGGATGTCAATTAGCACTGCAAGATCCTGAAAAGTTAGCTTCACTCCAAATCTGTACCACACTGTTATTATCCATAACACATCCATTCAGTCCTGGCTTCATGAAAAACAAAGTTCATAGTTTATTTTATTCTTTTTGTTCATTATGTAAAACGTTGAAAGGTAATTTTGAAGTGTTATTGTTTTTATTTAACTGTGAGGCGAAACTCCCACACATCATGTTCACTTTGGACACGAGCAGCTAATTGTCTGTAACAAAAACAGGGATTTCTTATTGTGCGGGAGGAAAACACAAACAAAATATGGACTGCTTTAAAAAAACACTTCAGAGAAGTGACTTAATCATTTCACTTCATCAACATAAAAAAATAATCATCTGGGATGAATGGTCCTTTATGATGAAAACTCTTTGAACCTGGACTGGAGCTGTTGCCAAATATAACTTTAGTGTTAGCTGAACCAGAATCAAGGCAAGCTGCTGATGTTTGATTTACCCAGAACCAGAAGCTGAAGCTGAAGGAATTCATGAATTTATTTTTAATATTGCATTCAGTAGTCAGTGAAGTATTGTTGCACAACTCTGCAGTTCACCTCAGTGAGTCAGAGAGTGTATTTAGCTTGCATTCTAATGTTCTGTTAAATGATTTTTCATTGGAGGTTTTCTCAGTCACTTCTAATTAGGGCACGTCTTTTTGCTATAAAACATGCGCCGCTGCATTTCTCCTGATGTTGCAGGAGTCGAGGTTTGTGCTGCTGACATATCAGCGATGATTGATGGGTGTTTTTTTTTTTTCTGGGTTCTGTTGTTGATGCTGTCTGCAATTTCTATGAAGAAAATCCTTCAGAAGATTTGAAGAAAAAAACTGTTCTGCTGAAAAGATGAAGTCTTTAAATGCTGCGAGTCGAGGGATTTAAGGCTGTTGGGAGCACAAAGACAAGCTGCAAAACAAATTGTGGGGAAGGAATCTCAGCTGGGTCTTTATGTGTGAAGTTTGCATGTTTTCATTGTGAATTAGTTTTTTTTCCTGTTATAGTTTCCCACACAGTCCTAAATGTGTCTTAGGGTAATTGAGCTTAAATGTTCTCTGTCCTAAGTACAGTATCTCCATGACAGTCCAGCTAAGAGGTGGAAATCTGTTGTGGGTGTACCTGATCTCTCGCCTGGAAACCACTGGAGAGAGGCTCCAGCTCAGATAATGATTAATACTGATACTGAACCACAAATGAGTTGTCTTTATGAACAAAGGAATTGTGGCTTCAGTGCCAGGTGCAGCTGAGTTAATATAATGAGTCTGCATTAGAGTTTATGTTTGATGGTAAACCCTTTGATGGCTTCCAGTGGTTAGTTCACTCTCACACCCCTATGCTCCACTTGTGCATTATTTATATCCAAGTTCCAGCAATAAATTATTTAGGCAGAGTTAAACCGACCTTTAACAATCAGGATGACTGTGTTAAACACACATTGTCCTCACCACTTCAGTACAGTTCTGTACAGTTTACTATCATCAAATACTGTCTGTTGATCAGACAGTAAAACAGTAATAAGGGCAGAAACACTACATCAGCAGGTCATTTCTCCTCCAGCCCACCTCAAAACGGGTCACAAGTCTGTTGTCAGACTAAATAGGCATCTCATCTGTCACAACAAGAATTATTATTGTACACAAAGGTTTGGATTGTGCAGAGGGAGATTACAGAGCAAGGAGATATTGTTCACGCGAGAGAGATGTGCTATTCATGGGACAAGCTGTATAACAAAAGAGACGCATTTTGGTAGAAAACAACAGATTGTCATTGACATATGGCTGTTATTTTGTTCCAAAGCAGATCCTGATGTGACAAAATGTTCTGTTTTTTGTTTGTATTCAAGCATAAAAAAATGTCTTGTTGTTTTAAACAAAATTAATATAACAACTACAGAACAATGGAGGATGTAATAAGATAGAGTTAAATGTACTCATTGCAAAGTGTGAAGTCAAACATAAAAAAGGTTATCCAAATGGTGTAGTTCGAAAGTGTTTACTCCAGTTGTTTTTCAGATATATTAACAAGCAAGACCGAAATGCAGGTTTGCACTYAGTGTAAATAAAGCACTAGACAGAATCTGGATATTTAGTGATGGACCCACATTAAACTGGGCGTATTCTACATAGATAAACAAATATGATAGAATCTCAGAGAAGACGTTGAGCAGGAATCTGCAGCTAAACAAGAAGAAAACAAATAACAAGTAAGAAAACTGCCAAATTACATGTTTGGATCAAGCAGTGCAAAGCTCCATAAAGGCAGAGCCTGGCATTCAGATAAGATTTTCACTAAACAGCTTAAAGACCAGTAAGTTTTTTGTGTTAGAAGACTTAATAGATAACTATTTGAATGATGGGTTGTGTATTATTAACAGGATTAAGCTCAAATTAGGGAACTTCAAGAAATTTGAACTCTCAGATACGAAGGTCTCAGAGTGTAATTAACTTCTTCAGGCAATGGATTTTAGTTTTTTTAAGTAAAGGCTCAGTGCAAACCCTACATAGCCAAAAGCTTTTTTTAATCATCTCTAAAAGTTTAAGTATTTGCAAATGAACAGTTAAAATACTCTGCTGCCTTCTAGAAACTGTTATCATTGATTAATTCTGGAATGCAACAATGAAATGAATTTCTGAGTGAAAAAATGGCCGCAGAATAAAACAAACTTTTTGTTGATCACTGTAGTAGATCTGTCATCTTTTATGGTTACTAAAGAGGAGAAAGAGAGTTGTGATCTGTGGTTTGCTTTTTTGTTGTGAAATATTAAGTCTTCTGCATGGTTTTTACAACTTATTTTTTTCTCCTGTTGGAATCTGCTCATGCAATTGTATTAATCTAAGTGTGCCAGTTCTCTGTTTTTACCTAAATAAGAGTACTCTAAGAAATGTGTGTTTGTTTATTATAATTTTACTGAAGAAAATTAAGGAAATCATTTTACCTTTTACATGACTTTTATTTTTTTTAAGTGGGATCAATACTTATTTTAAATGTAATCATAAAAACCTGTAGAAAGGTTTATACATTCTCAAACATTGTAAAATGCACATGTGCTGCTAGGTTTGATTCATCATTAAAGTCAGTTACTAATATCTTGCATTTTTATTCCTCCCCTCTCCACCCTCTCCTTATTGATCTGCTCTCTTTCTAAAGGACCCAGAGGAGATTGTGATGTTTAATGGATGCCCCCCACGGAGGTCGTTGGAGTCTTCTGAATCATAGATCCGGCATCAAGCGCATGCCTTTCAWTGTGGCAATGCGCTATCTCTAGACTGTGCTTCTTGAACCCTCCTATGGGGGGTGTAATTACTGCAAGTGGGGTTGTGAGGCTGAGCTTCCCGCTGTAGATAGAAATCTCCAAAATCATGTAGTGTTCCTTTCTCCAGAGAGGGGGGAGGGTGCACACTTGAGTCTGGCTTCATTTTTTATTCATTTCTGTTCATGTAATCAGAACAGATCTGTGCTCACTTGTTGAGTGTATGTGGCTGTGGGCAGAGAGAGTGAGGTGAGGAGAAAGTGACAGAAAGGAGAAAAAGAGAACAGGAAAGACGTGASAGAGATGGTCCTCCACACCACCCCATACTCCAGTGCCTGTCTGCACTTCCTGGATGGCTTGTCATGGAGCCTGGTGTTTCCCTGCTACTGGTTCCTGGACCGGCTCCTGGCCTCCTGCGTGGCCACTTCTCTGGAGAAGCGCCAGCGCTCCCAGGACCCCTGCTCCTTCCTCACCCTGTGTGTCCTGATTTCTGCACCCCTTTATCTGCTGCTCCTCCTTGCATCGCTCCCTTTTGCCCTGCTGGGGTTCATCATTTGGGCGCCCCTGCAAGCTGTTCGCCAACCATACCTGTACACCTACCACAGGTGAGTGTCATCCCAGACAATGTCTTCACAACTCCCAATTTTAAATGTCTTCGTCAGTGTCACTCTGAGTCAGGACAGCAACCCAGAATACAAATGCAGAGGCAGAAGCTGGGTCAAAATCAAATCACATTTACTGGCCAGAGGAGTAAGTGAGTTTAGAGGGTGTGTTTCTGAAGCCATGAATGTTGTATGCACTTGTGTGAATATCTGAAAAATGAGTCCGTAGAATCCAGTCCCCAAAAAGATAAAACCCCATAATTCAGCCATTGTTCAGAATATTGGTGTTGAATTGTTCATTCTGTGCAGCTCCAGGTTGTCCTTCAAGGGATCAGATTAGACGGGAGTGAGGGGTGGGGGGTGGGGGGTGGGAGCCACGTCGATGTAAACACCAGGAGGAATTTGGTTCCACAGTCTTCTCAAGGCCACATGGGGGGAGAGCCTAATCTGTGATCAATTGTTTGGGAACAGAAGAAAATGTTTTGGGTCAGACAGACAATAACAATTTTCCATCTGCCTTAATGTCCACTGGTACATCTCAATGTAGCGAATCCAATCAGACAAATAGTGTGGGCAATCCCACCGATCTGAGCTATCAGCTTTCTCCAAGATCAATTCCATCTGGCCAGCAAAGTCCAGGAACCACAGCCGGCCTGCGACCCTCAGTAGAACCACTTGCAGACCGAGTTCCAGCTCGCACAAGGCAAAAGTCTGAGTGCTGATAGAACGGCAATCCTTCATATTGGTCAGACAGACAGGAAATGGCCTGAATAGCCACCAACGCTGTTTTGTAGAAACACCAGGAGACCACCAAGCCAATCTGTAGAATCCAGTGATCAGAATCCAAATATATATCCAGAACAGAGGTCCCACCTTTGACATGTCCTCCCATGGAAGAAAACTTTGTTCCAAAAATTTATTAAGGGACCAGCTAACCAAATATATAAAAAATAAAACTATCCATAATTTCTGGTTTCGGGTGAAAACGTAGAGGAGGCTACCAAGCAGCAAAGCAGGGAAGATAAGGAAGGGCAGGAGAGAAGGTAAAAGTGTCTTACTCCTCCAAGAGCAGAACAAAAAAAGATATGAACCCAAATACAGCTGTGGAATGTCAATGATAAATCTTGAGAGAGCAACATGGCAACATGTGACTCATGTTGTCTGTTGAAGAATGCTCATGGGTTGACTGGGTTATTTTAGTGCTTTAGAATTAGCTTTTGCTAAAACTTTCAGTGCATTAGTGCTTTAGAATTAGGGGACCTAAATATTTGTTAGTGTTGTAGGGTTAGTGGAACTAATTTTTAGATTAGTGCTGCCCACCACTGCTAGTAGCTTTTATTGCAATGGCACTGTGTGGACATAGTGATGTTTATAAGAAATGCCCAGGCAATGAAAGTTGTATATTTAGTGCTCAATTGTTTAAAAGCCCAAACATATTTTTAAAACTACTAATTTTCTTTTTACTTCTGATATTTATTTATTTATTTATTTATTTATTTATTTATTTATTTGTCCAGACCAGACAAGAGCCTGTCAGAGCAGAGTCAGGCTGGACAAGATGGGCTTGGAGAATGGAGGCCACAAGGCAGAAGCTTCTGTTTCTGCAGTGCCAATGTGTGCCTCTTGCCAGACTCCCTGGCCAGGTTCAACAACTTGTCAGACACACACAGGAGAGCTCGCGAGGTCGGGAAGAGAATCCGTAATGGAGCCAGTCGACCCCAGATTAAAATATACATTGATTCACCGACCAACACCTCCATCAGGTGAGTGGAGTTTTCTCCAGAGTTCTGCTTGTTGCAGAGTCCAAATCAATACGTTTAAAACCTCTTCCTTTCAATTCTGTCATTTAGTGCAGCATCATTCAGCAGCCTGGCTACAGGTTTCCGCCGTACCTCCTCTCTGGATCAGCGTCCAGAGCAAACACACACCACCAACGGTCCGGCCGAAACTGAAATCGAACCCATCACCGAGTGCCCAGTTCATCCCTCAGGTGCCACTGACTGCCCTGTTCACCCCTCTGCAGGAGAGCAGGGCTGCACTGACTGCCCTGTTCACCCCTCTGCAGGAGAGCAGGGCTGCACTGACTGCCCTGTTCACCATGATGGATCAGACACCACAGCAGACTGCCCCCTTCACCCAACAGGGACTAACAGCAGCTCAGACTGTCCTGTTCAGAACTCAGGGGACGCTACAGACTGCCCCATGCATGCCACTGGAGGGCAAAGTGGCCCTGGCCATCATGACTGTCCCATGCATGGGGAGGGGATGCAGCAGAAACCACCTACAGACTGCCCGCTTCACACCTCAGGGGTTCAAATTAGCATCAGTGCTCCAGAACCAGAAGCCCAGGAAGAGGAGGCTGAGACTGGTAATCACCGGGAGTTGGCAGGAGGAGACATGGGCAGCATGACTGCCTCCCGGGAGTCCCTCACCCGTTACCATGGGGGTGACACCACCGTGGGGATTTCCTCCAATAACACTCTCTCTCATGTCCCACGTACATCCATCTTCAAGCGACCAGGACGGAATAAACGTCGTCATGGAGATGAGACGTTTGACCATGAGGTCTCTGCCTTTTTCCCTGCCAATCTGGACTTTCTGGCTCTGCAGGAAGTATTCGACCACGGCTCCACGACAAGACTGCGGCGGCAGCTGCACCGCTACTTTCCATACGTGCTCAGCGATGTTGGGCGGTACGGCTGGAAAGGCTGCTGTTCCAGGTTCAAATTCTTGAACAGTGGCCTGATGCTGGCCAGTCGCTACCCAATCCTAGATGCGCGGTTTGAGTGCTACCCAAACGGGAGAGGAGAAGATGCTCTTGCAGCCAAAGGGGCCCTGTTTGCCAAGGTTAGTGGTTTGACTTTTTCTACCAGTTGCTAGGGCTGTGTATTGGCAAGAATTTGGCGATACGATACATATCATGACAGAGGCGTCATGATACAATATATCCTGATATATTGCAATACTGTAAGCAAGGTGATATATTGCGATTTTTTGTCAAAAATTCTATTTAAAAAAACCTCTTACTGGAAAAATAATGAAAAACCAAAATTCATTGTCTCAGAAAATTCTAATATTACATAGACATACTTTTGATACATTTAGCTGTGTTCTGCTTTGAATGTATTTGATTTTGTTAGTTTCATATTTCTTATTTCATCCATGTTTTCAATTATTAGACTAATTTTGCCAATAAATAGTTTGAAAATATGTTTTGTCAGCTTTTAGTTTTTAATATTAATTTACAATATGGTCACCCAACACTTAACAATAGCCTTTATGTTGTCATAAAGTTCAGTAAACAGATGATATGAAGCTGCTGCACAGAGTTTCTGAGATCAGCTGACCTGCATAACTGTGGGTCGAACAGCAGGGCAGGTCCTGAAAATAAACAGTAAATAAATGGAGAAACTAAACAACACATTTAAAGCATTTTTGAAGCAAACACAGCAGGATCAACTTAAAGTATTTGGACTTTGATGCAATCAGCCGGACATTGAGAGCAACAGACAGAATTTTATGTCACGGGGGAGTGCCGAGCTCGAGACGCTAGACGCATGCGCTATATATATATATGCATGCTTGCCTTCCATAACGTTGGAAAAAAGAGCGCACAGACCCTTAATTTGTCTTAGAATACAGACACTCTGACAAATAAGTAACTGTTCGTAACCTAACCTCAGCTTAAAAGGCAGAGGGTGTCGGTATTTTCCACTCAGATTCAGCTATCGGAGCATGATGCTAATGTTTACTCACGATGCTAATGCTACCCTTACTCTCTGGCGCTCAAGAGGTAGAGGAGCCAAATGGGTGGCTCACTGCTGCCACCTAGCGGTCAGAGGCTGAACTGCAACTTAAAAATGAACGGCTGGCAGGAAAGTTGACGTTTTAAACCTTAATAAAAAATCGATACAGGGATTTAGAACATCGATACAGTATCGGGAAATGAAATATCGCGACATTTCAGTGTATCAATATTTCCTTACACCCCCCTACCAGTTGCTCTGCTCTGATTTCCCTCATGGTCGTAGAGATTCAGGCTGAAGCGGGAGTGGTGAAAACATTCCACTAAAAAAACTATATAAAGCTTTAATCAGACAACCTTATGTTTTACATCATGAAATAACTAAAACATTTCAGAATAATTTGAACTAAAAGGTCAGTAAAGAGAGCAGTGGAGAAATGATTACCAATGACTTTGATCTATTTTAAGAATAAACTTAGGTTTTATCACATCTTAGATACATTCTGACCTTTTCTATAATTCTTTTTCCTTGACAGCTATTTTAGTCGCTCTTTAAAAATATCTAAAAACCTCCCTTCTCTTCTTAATTTGRGGAAAACTGAGCTGCATTTGAGCTTCAGCATCTCTATGGGTTTAATTTTGTGTTTCTACTGCAGCAGATATTTGTTCATGCTCTGATTGCTGCTTGTTGCTCAGCTGGACTGTGATCTTGTTGTCTCTGATGCTGCTCTGTGACTTTGGTAGACATCTCCATAAATCTGCCCATTAAGTCTATTTATACCACAATAATAAAATTGTGAATAAATGTGTGAGGAAAAGCTGGAGGGTCAAAGCTAAAATGACCTGCCAGCTGCCTGTATTTTCCTTAGCATGGTTATAAGAATTTCATGTGCAAAACTAGATTTAAAGCATGATTTTTTTTCTTATTGTTGCAAGATGTTAAAATCTTTATGGTAATATCCAACAACTTWATTCTATAATGAGTGTTTTGTCACTATTGTTAAAATTTATTTAGCATTTTTTACTTGATTGTAGTGACTTTTTTAATGAGACAAGAATGAAATTAACTGCTTTTATATATGTTTGCTGCTTTTTTGATATTAGGAGTRAAACAAATCTGACATGTGAGTCAGCTTGCTGTGGCAGCCCAGAAGAGAGCAGCCAGAAAAACTAAAGAAAAATAAATGCTGCTTCTTTAATGAGAGCTTTTAAGCTGTAATGCATTAAACCATTACTGAACAGAGAAACATCCTGCTATGATTCAGTTTGTTGTCTGTTATTGTGTGAATAGGAGGAAAAAGCATTAATCAGGCACTTTCAGCACTGAGAGACTGGTCATGTATATATTTTGCAATTTGCTGTACAATGTTGATGCTTCCATACAAACCCATTAAATTGGTTGTGTTTGTGACACGTTCTGATGCACAGCGAAGGGATCTCAGTTACAGTACCTTTGTGATCTTCCACAACCCTTTTTTTTGCTGCAGTAGCAGCAGTCCTTATAATATTGTATAATAGCCAAACAGAAAAAAGCCTCTGTGTTGAGTTTAAAGCTTTTCAGTGCAATGAATCACTCCAGAAGCAACACCGGCCAAAAGAAAAGGGGCTTTGTGTAAATATGTGTGCATTTAGTGAAGTTTGACAGTGTGTGAAATCATTATCAGCCATATACTGTGACTGGCAGGATRTGAATCAGATCCAGTTCAGCACATAAACAGATGCAGGTGATAGATACATGTAAAGACACACTCATATGTGTCTTTACATGCCCTAACGGATCTCAGATCTAATAAAGACATGCTACATCACAGCTTGCAYGCTGACAGCCTCATCCTGTTTCCTCGCTGCCCGCTGCCTGCCGGGGCTGCTTACAAGCTGCTTCACTTTCTTGTAGCGCTGCCTCCGTGTATGTGAGGTCACTCCCGGTCACATTYGTAAGGTGGCTGTGAGCCAGCTGGCAGGTAAAAGTCTCAGTGAAAGCTGCAACGTGAGGGGGGAAAAAAAGCAAGCAATGTTCTCCCTAAGCTGGATTATTTCTGCTCTGAATGGTTACACGTCAGATGCTTCTCCTCAAAATACTGAATACACACATATTACTGCTATGATGTAAAAAAAAAAGCATCAAAATGTGTGGCAGCTCAAAATGTATAAATTCATTTCAAACATGCATTGTAAAGTCTTTTGAAGTTATTTTAAWAAACACTAATCACTGACCATTAAAATGAGGAAATTTGGAGGTTTCTTTTMTATTAAAATAGTCTGTTATTTTGTAAAACAGCATTGACGGAATTCACTTAAACAAAATGATAAATGAAATGTTCTGTATAAAGGCTAAAGCTGTTGAACATTAAAAAGCAGACCATATTTAATTGTAGGGAGATGAAAACCTCAATTTAAAAACAAATCAAAACCTTAAAACATAAGAATAAAATACTTCAGTACTATTTTAAYAATTACGTAATACCCCATTTAACTAATTCTCATAAACACCAATTGTTAGCTTTTAAAAACAAAAAAGTCCATATGAGGAGATATTTTATTGTTTAAAAGAAATCTTCACCTCAATTTTTATGCAACACAAATGTGCATTCATTTAAATGTATTTRTAGAACTGAGAATGAGTTAAAGTACACTTTAAACTTTTGTTTTGGTTTCAAAGCCAAAGTATAGATTTAACCAACTCCACTAAAAGCAATCCAACTCATAAAAATAAGAAGAATYCTGAGTAGTTGTAGAAGCAGGATGGAAAGTTCACCAGGAACATGGATGCAAAAAAAAATTAAAAAATAAATAAATAAAATCCACATGTCAAGATCCTGAGTGTGTTTCATTCAACCAGCAAACAGCACAGAGCTGGAGAGCAAACAGCACAGTTAATAGGTGTCAAACTGAATGTCCTGCTTCACTTCTAAAAGCAAATGAAGGAAGTTAAGGAAACAGTCACAGTGTGTGACTCGTGCTTTATCATCTAAATTAAAGGATGTAAACACAGTGGCAGTGAAGGTAAATTGCACAGCGGATGCAGCTTCAACTAAGAGTCAAAACAGATCAGAAATGTAAAACAGTCAAATCTAGCTTTCATTTGCAGAGAAAATCACAACCTCATGATATAACTCGGGTTTTTCACCCTTAAACTTTTACTTAGTTTGCTAGAAAATATRAAACCAGGCATTACAAACCTTGACATTTTCATTGAGATGCATAATGAATGTGTTTCAAGTAGCTTTTTTTATTATTTTTATTGGAAATCAGCTTCATATTAATACAGGCTGATGTTGATAAAGTCATTTAATCATTATATTCATAATTATAAAGTAAAAACTTATATGTCAGCTTCTGCATTCCATGTGTGAGATTTCTAAGCTTTATGATTGCACATGCTGTTCAAATAACATCCAAATGTCAGGTTTGGTGAGAAAAGATGCAGAGATGCTGACTTGACTCGAGGACTGGAAGCAGGAAGAGAATTTAATAAAAAAAATGAATCAAGAGTTGACGGGGCAGCATAACAAGACACAAAGACACAAGGAGCACTATCTGGGAGACAAACAGCAGAACTGACTGCAGTGAAAACTATTGATCACCTTGTTTTTTTTTTGTACTTTCTCTGTAACCTGTCCGCCTCGTGGCCACCTGCAGGCTTTGATCTGCCTGCTGCTGACTCTTCATCACTCTTCATCCCTCAGACGTCTTGGCAGCTTCCCAGGGCGRGGCCCTCTCTTCCCTCCCGTGAACCTCCAGCTGGCTTCACTGCCAGCTGGGGTGCATCTTATTAGACGCAGTTCATTTGAAGCACCTGGTGTTCACGCTGTGTTTGTCTTTGTGCTGACCAGATGATTTGATTGTTTTGTGCATTTGAAACACATTGCTTTGTTGTTATAATTGCTGTCGTGTTTATTTGATGTTTCACTGGGTTTACTGGGGTGTTTTTGCATCATTACGTGAACAATGTTCAGTCAGCGCTCCAGTTTTTCATCTCTGTGATGTACACTGTGTTGAACTGCAACCATTTCAAAACCTAAAGCAGACTGATACCAAATATTTTTACTTTCACCGAACATTATGCAACTCTGCATAATTAGTCAATATAGTTTGGCAGGAGGTTTAGTTTAATTTACCTGTTAAATGAGACAAAATCAACCACAATTATCCTTTGCTATTTTCTCTTGATTAGTTTGTTCCAATTGTGAACAATTTATAGCTCAAGTCATATTTCAGTGTCTTGCAAATGTAACTCWAGGGACACACACACTTTAATGATTTCCCCATGGAGGTATTTACCTGGTGAATGGCAGCAGGTCAACAGCATAAATCTGAATTGTGATGCACTGGAGAGATGGATGAGGAGGCAAAAGGTGGAAAAGAAGAAAGAAAAACTATTAATTAAAAAGGTTTCCCTGAAGAGAGAAAAGCCAACACTGGCTCTGTAATTAAAGCATTTCAGTCCCAACATTTATTCCCCTCTCATAATTATTTGAAACTACTAAGTGCAAAGCTGAGAAGTCACGTGTGTTTGTGAGTAAATACACAATTTGAATGCATCACTATGGATTAGATCTGAAAATAGGGACAGGCACAAATCCAGATTGAATAATGGAAATCAGTGGGAGGCCTTAAAGCCTCTAATAACCTGTGGGACCTTCATTCACTTCAGACATTACAGTTTATTGACTCAGATTATTTCCCACTTAGGTTCCAAAGTGATTTAGTAGCCCATTTGTGAAGCTTTGTCTTTTTCACTACAAAACACTCACTGTGGTGTTCAAACTGCTTTTTATGATGTAGTTGTCGTTACTTAATTTCTTCAACACACGCAGGACTAAAGATGCAGCCGGTTAAACTCGAAAAGTAAACAAAAAATATGAAACTCTGAGTCATGCACTAAATTGCCCTGATTTCTAATTTGTCTCCAGAATAGTTCTTCGAAATCAGGAATCAGAATTTTTTATTCAAGATGAATTTTGGCTCAAAAACTTTACCTCAATATCTGTAATCTTACATGATTTTATACAATCTTATGTGGCAGCAATCTTTGACTCCAAATGCCAGTCATTTACAGAAATACATCCAATTATTACTTTTTTTCATTAAAATCTTCCAATTTTATATTTTACAGCTTTGACTTGGATCGCCTGATCAAATACTTATTTCCCACTTTACCTGTGTCTTTTTTTAAACTTAACTTTAAACTTTAAGCTAAACTGAGGCAGAGAAGCTCTGCCCACCTTATTTGCATAATGAGGCAGAAAATACATAAGGAAATGCAAACACAGGAAACAGAAATGTAAAAGCAACACAAGGAAAAAAATACTTGAGAGAAAAATTATTAAAAAATAATATATCATCATATATATCATTTAAGAGACACAAATGCATGTACAAGTAAAAGGAAAAATAAAAATAAAATAAYGTTTTGAAAACAGTAAATGTAAGTTATGTTTTAAAATTTATAATTTCGTGGAACTATGCTGGAAAAATAAGGTCAATTAAATTATAAAACATGAGGTAAAGTTCTCCCTTTTAAATTTAATTGATGCATAAGTGTATTTATTTATTTATTGGTCCATTMATATATTTCTGCATTTATTTCTAATTATGTCAGATTCAGTCCTGCATACGCACAGGCGAAGACATTATCAAAGTGAATGCAATTTCTCAGAGATGGCATTGATTGGACTGATTTATTTTATTAGTTTAAGCAATGACAAATATCTATTTAAATGCTCTCATGTTCTTGGACTATCGTGACTACAAAACATTTAATGAGGATATCACAGCCTTCATTATAGACTGGATGACAAATAATGTTTGTTCATTTAAAGAGACAAACAAAACTTCAACACATCTGTCACTCCAGTCCTCCTCTCTGCTGTCATCCTCACAACAAATCAGCTCCTTTATTTTTAAGTGAAGTGATCAAACTCATGTGAGTAATGTGAGGTGAAATCTCAGACTCCATGTGATGGAAAAGTTAAAATAATTATTTACAGCATGCTCAGAGCTTTTATAATCAGGCTTGCTCGGCTCGGTTGGCTGTGAAATCACCTCTCTCAGCTCGTTGCAGTTCTGCTCTGTTCTGTCTCAATGCCCTGTAATGAGAGGAAGTCGGGGAAAGTTTCTCACACGCCGACTCATTTGCCTTTTCATTTCAAAAGAAATCCAGCTAATTATGCCTTATTTGTATTCATAAATAAGTTTAAAAAAGAATCATTTAAGTATCACCTGCTTCCTGTGGAGGATTTTCTTCATTYTGCTCACAAATAAACCTGGGTCTCTGCGTGCACATCAACTTTTGCACATGCCTTGGATTATAAACACTTATTGAAAGTCCACTATTCCTTATAAGCATGGCTGTGCACGTATACATGTGCAGAAGAATCCCCTCAGGTCTCTTGTCAGTTTCAGGGTCCACACACACCTATTGAAGCATGCATAAGCTCCTGAAATATTAATACAGAGTGTGGCGTGTGGGTAAAGGAGAGCACTGAGGGAGAAAACTGAAACTGAAAAGGAAGAAATGGAAAGGAAAAACATACTTGTGTTTTTATTTAAATCTTTAAAAAATACATAATTACTGAAGAGCTAATGTGTGTTGAAATAAATTATAGTGTTTGTCARCTCTCTGGCCWTTACACTAAKCTAAAAAGTAAAAATCAAATCATAWMTCRTCCCATCGAGCTCTAAACATTGAGCTATTCCTCTAAATGAGAGCTGACAAAGATTACTAACGGTCTTGAATGCAAATGTGTGAGTTAAGAGAGCCATAGCGATGATCTATCCCTAAGATGTCTTGCTAGAATTAGATCTCATTACATATTTTATTTACGTACTACACTGAGATGCATGACTAAAATGAAAATAAAGTCATGCTAAAATCCCAGAGACTCCCAATTCTAATGGAATGAAAAGAGTCTGACAATGTAAATATTTCTTCAGGCTRTTTTCAGACTAATGTGGTGAAATCTTTAACAAATCAAACAAGAAACATAATCACCTTAATCAGTTGTGTTTTAGAAACAAACAGAACTAGAGAAATTGTGTTTCCTGTAAAAAAAGCTCATGTGAATGCTTGTTGCTGAAAACTTTAGTTGAAAACTAATGTTTATTTTTGCAAGATAAATTTGAAATGAAAAAAGCATAAAAAATAAGCACAAAAAGAGAAATTGGCATAAGAATAGCAGAAAGAAACAGGATTGTATCTTAAWGAGCAGAAAAAGTCTACAATWAGCATAAAAACAARCTAAAGGTAGAAGACACAAGTTGAATGTAGCACCCAGATGTTGAAAGGAGTATAAAAAAATTGTCTAATTAGAAAGAAAATATATATTTTTAAAGTGACATTTGTTGTAAAATAGCTAAAACAGCCCAAATGTGAAGTAAAACTGTTATGATTCTGTCCCTGTCTGCTCTGATCATGCCTCAGTTTAGTTTTATTATCTTATTTCATGTTCCAGTTTCTCCTCATGTTCTTGTTCCCAGCCTTACAGCTCACATCCAGCTCCTGCTCATTGCTCTCGCCCCTCCCTTCATAGAAACCCTAATCAAGCTCATTTCACTCACCTGTTTCCTGCAGTATAAAATCCAGTCTCACTCTCCAGTTTACTGCCAGATTATCATCAGCTTGCCTGTGGTTCTCCAGCGGTTTCAGCCATGTCTCGTTTTTTGCCTTTTGATACCGACCTTGTTCTGGTCCCCTGGTTCAACGATTCTCGCCTCAGCCCCTAACGGATTATACAGTACCTGCCATCTGCTTTACCTGTAACGACTCACGCCTTGCTTCTTGGGACTCGTGCTCTTTGCCTCGCCCCTGATCGGTATCTCCAGCCATCTGACCACCTGGATCTYGACCCATGCCTGTACCACGGATTATCAGAACTTGCCTTTTTAGACCCAAACACTCCAACTAAACTAATGGTATGTCACCGCACCGTGCTGGAATGCAAACCCTTCCATCAAAGTTTCTGTCTGGAAACAGGTTAGTGGCTTTAATTCTTTGGAAAGTCCTCCATCGTTCTGCCACTAATCTGAATTTCCTGTTTAGATTTGACGAGAATCCGGTCAAAGCACTTCCTGGTTCATTCACCTCTGTACAATAAACTGTAAAACTTTGTCTTGGTCCGGTGCTTATTCAGAACTCAAAACTGTTCAATCAAAAAAAAAAAAAACAACTAAAATGTAGCTGGAAATTCCTAAATTAGCATAAAAAAGATCAAGTTTTTCTGAACAGACACTGCAACTGCCACAAATGTGAAAGTAGCTCTAAACAGCTAAACATTAGCTATAAATTGCAACAAACAGCTGAATAAACAACTGCAAGAAGCTCAAATTAACCAAAAAAAGCACAAGTAGAAAACAGCAGAATAGCAAAAAGAAGCAGCTAAAATAGCAGAAAAATGCTAAAATTAGCAAGAAAAAGTTAAAATTAGCGCAAGGAAGTTAAAAAGAGCAAAACCAGAACAAAAAGTTGCAAGGTTCTGAAGGGTTTTAAGACCGTTAAAAACAGCGCCAGTCATCTTAAGGGAAAAATGTAGCCGAAAAAAATGAAATGGCTAAAAGTATAAATACTGTAGCTGAAATGCCAAAAGTCACAGCCGAAATGTCCCAAAGGAATTAAATGTTTTGATATTTCAATTAAAAGTGGCACAAAAATTGAGGAACGAGATATTTGCTGAACACACAGAAGAAATTATCTCAATAGTGTGATTGTGAAACATTCACACAAGTGTTTTGTTAAATTTACATTTTCCTGGCTGATGAATTGTGATCCAAACACTGGTGTAGAGTGTTGTAATGCTTCTATTTTTTAAATGAGTTGTCATGTTTGTGTTTGCCAGTTTTGATTAACTGTGGTGACCATCTAAACTCAATTTAACTCCAGAAGTTAATTAGTTGTAGATCAATGTGTTCTTGAGACCAGCACAAACAAATGAACACACACACAGAGACATGGGTAAAATCATTATTGCTGATTTAGCGGTTTGGTAAACATCTTTCTTGTAAAATTAGAACCACTGCCAGATAGCTCCAGTGCTTCTTTATTTAACAAGTTAGTCCATCACTGATCATTGGCTCTTGTTGGGTCTGGTCTTGTCCACCTCTCATAATACAGWATCTCTTTTATAGGTGGGGCAGAATTGAGTTTTTCCTCTCTGTTTCCTGAATGAGGATGGGAGTGTGCTGTCTGAGTGTGGGAGAAATGAACCTCCCAGTGAATTAGATGCAGACACTAATGATARAAGTGGAACATTGAGCAATGCTTCRCCCACCCATACTTGAAAGGTTGTGATCACAAATTCAAATTGCTCTCATGTGATGCACTCTTTCCCAAATCTGGTCAAATCTCAGCTGAAAGGGAGTGTTTAACTATTGACAAATTTTTCCCTTTTTAGACCAAATTTATCCTTATCATTTCAAATGGTTTTTAATCTGTTTTCTCTGAAATAATCAAGACATCAGCAGCTCATTGTAARTTTGAAAACACTAATATCCTGGCTAATTGCATCCCCTATTAGGAAAGTTAATCCATCATCTGATACATTTAATTTGCATCAGTCTTTTTCACATTTTGAGCTTGACCACTTTAACCAAACATTCATTATTTGAAGAGTAGATGAATTTGTGATTCAAATACCAAGTGGGAAATCTGTGGTCTGTAAAGTGGTGCACTAACTTGTTTGGTATTAAAGTAAACCTTCAAGAGGTTTTTAACACAAGCCAAAAACAAATCCTATTGTTAGCAGCTTTTTTTTTCACCATTTGTCTCAGTGAGTGTGCCATCCATTACGAGAAGCTTTTGATTCATAAGGGGGAAAACACTTTTTAATTTCTTTATTGTATTGTACTTTTTTTTTAAATGCACTTTTTTAAAGAGACACCAGACAAGAAGTGTTAGGAATCCATTGTGCATTGTTCTCTTTTTCTTTCCTTTGTGTTTACAACTTTCTTGTGTCGGAGGATCCTTGCAGACTGGTCGATGATGACTCTTGAGTCACGCCAGCCTCAAGGTCAGAGAGAAATGATGAAATATTTTTAACAAACTGCACCAACAGTTTCAAAGTTGGTGTTCAAAGCTTTAAAATTTTGACATTTAAACCGAGCATTTCTTTCACATCGATCACATATAATGAAAAACACCAGCAAATCCATGTTTGACCTGGTGTTTCGTAAAGGTTTGTGCAAGTGTTGGTTTTTATATCAGGACTATTCAACTAAATCACTCTGGGGGCCACAGACCTGCGGCTCAGGGGCCGAACATCCAGCAAGTAAAGTCATTCTGTAAAGAAAACAAGTATTACAAAGATCTGTTACCTTTGAAATAGTTTATTTTGCTGTATTTAATCATGGATACAACATACAGAACCCTAAGTAATAAATGTAGTGATAGTAAAACAATATCAAATGCAATGATGACACATTATGCCTCCTATTTAACACAAATATTTTGACATCTCTGATTTGCCAAATTTTTTAACCAATTTTATTTCCACTTTCATAGTTTTGTCTTCAACTGCTTGCAGTTTTAACTGTCTTAGATATTCATAGAAATGTGTTTTACCAGCTTCTAGCCAAGACTCAGACATTTCTAGACACCAAACATGTCTATGTTTAACTAAAAGAACTCACTGGGGGTTTGGACTTAAGAGATGAATGAACCAATTGGCGGGCTGCATTTTGGTGGCCCGCGGGCCGTTAATTGAATAACCCTGTTTCACACAATAAAAAAATTACAACAATTCAAGCAACGTGCAGAAGACCAACACTCACCAACAGTGAATGTTTAAGTTTTAGGCAAAGCCTCGCAGCATTCATTGTGAAATATTTTTCATTGAAATTTAGAACACAAATAATATATTTATAACATTTATAGAACACAAATAATATATTTATAACATTTATAACATTGACTTAAATATAGTTTTTTTTTGTTGTTGTTTTAAGAAGGTCATTTCTTTATAGTGGCCATTTTAAATTGAGGTATCTTCAAAAGTTAATCAATTGTGGATCTTTATCCAGTGATTAATTCCTAAAAGTTTAAGGGTGTATTCACACCTGACACATTTGGTCTGCTTCAAATGGACCAAAGTTCATTTTCCCTGTTGGTCCAGACCTTTTATCCAGGTGTGAACACACCCTGGTGCGGACAAGTGGACCAAAGGATTTTCCTGGTGTGAATACACCCTTAAAAATATCTCATGTTTTTCTTAGATTTTGGTACCAAACCAATGCAAGGTTGTCTGCTCTACATCTTAAAGCAKAATTCAGTTTCTCCCCTCTGTTCATTTATCCATTTTGGACCATCAGCATGTCACATTCGTGGAGGTTAGAGGAAACTGTTGCACAGAGCCAAACCTGCTGTCTTGYTAACAGATGCAGTCACATCTCTCACCAACATGCTGTTAGTGTCTTTGGAACAGATGGTAATCAAGACATGTAAGTGCAACATGACACTCAGAGGCCAGCTGCTCCACTGGTAAATTCATAAATAAACTRTAAACATTCCTGGGTTCTTTGAAGAAAAACTCTGCCATACATTCGTCTTTTAGAGCACTAATAAAAGCTTCACATTAAAAGCACCTTGTTTATTGCTTTAAAGTGAGCAAGTGCCACTTTTTTCTAACTTCATACTACTGACGTTAAGTACAACTTAGAAAAGAAGCCCTCCTTGAGGATGTATTCGGATCATTTTAGCGAGTGGAATGCTCCTGTGTTTAGAGCTGTTTTGAAACTACGACCTCAAGCAGAGATGTTTGCAGTCTTGCAACAGATCTGTTCCTCCCAGACGCCTTCACACTTCAACATATCTACCCGGCAATCATCTTTTCTCTCTCTGTGCAACCCTTTATTCCTGCTTATCAGTCAGCATCCACCCACCGACTCTTCAGAGCTGCCAGTCGCAGCCTCGTTGTCCTTCAGGACTCTTCAGCACTGTTGCTGAAGGTGTCTGATTAAATCTCCGGTGATGCTGTTTTGTTGTTGCTCTCATTTTGTTACTTGAAGAGTAGAGAAATTCGGTGTTTAAAATGTATCCATAAAGTTGAGCAAATTTCTTTTCTGTTGCTCTGTTTTAGTTTTCTTGAATTCACTCGCATCCATCCGTCAGTTTCCTCCAGCTGCTTGTCCATGCAGGGTCACAGAGAGCTGGTGCTTGTCTCCAGTGGTCCTTAATGACACCCTGGACTGCCCACCGTTCCATCACAGGGAGCAATCTGTCAGTTGGAGTGAAGTCGGGAAACAAAGTCAAATCATTGTTCTGATTATTGTCCACCTTACAGAGTTGTATCTAGTTAAACTAACCAATAAAAGAGGGACACRTCTTTTACACACAAAAATGTCTGACATGGAACGAAATTTTTATGAAAATAAATTTAAGGATTGATCTGATATTAAACTTCAGATGTGCCCATTTCTCTCATCCAAAATATAAATGGAATGCACAAAATAAAACTGAATATTATCTCAGMAGATGATGGATAATTATGATTGCCGTGGATAAAGAGCAAGTAAAATTATTCTCTAGAAAAATCTGCATAAAAGCAYATAAACAGGGGCGATTAAAAGCAAATATTTCACTTTCAGCACATCACAGATTTGTCTTTTTCTCATCCTCAGAAGTGATGAGTGAMCTTTAGATATTTTCTCTGTTTCTCATCACAACAAGCAGATAGGCCGTGTTGTAAAATCAATGATAGAATAGTAGAAACTAGGACTCCAGTGTGTGAAACTGGAAAAAAAGTTAAATTCCTTTACTTAAGAAGTAAATGTATCTGATGGAGTGAAGAAAACATCAACAAGATCATAATCACATTATGCTAGGTGTAAAAGAAAACCAAGAAGGACACCAAWCCACTGTACGATCTCAGCTGAGTTTTGAACGGGCAGCTGTGAGGCAACAGCTGGAACCACTGCACCCTGCCACTCTGACAGTGAGGCTCTGTGTTGGGTTGATCAGGGTCTGTTCAGCTTTAATGAAAAACTTTTTAGTCAATCACTAACCACTGTACCGCCTGAAAGAATCACTCACCATTTTAAAAACATACTCTCAGTATTAATGTAAGGGCCTTTTGTTTTGTTTTGTTTCTGCTGAAAGAAAAATGTTTCGCGCTCCAGCAACCTCTGCAGACCATTCATTAATCTGAACAAAATGTCAGAACTCCTAATGTTGGGCCCATTGTTGGTGGAAGCGAGTGCTGATCAAATAGTGTTCAGCACTATTTTTTTTTTGCGATGAAATGCTTTTTGATGATTTAAAGCATAAAAATATAAAAGACAGAAAAAAAGCTGGAGATAAAAGCAGCTCTGTAAGGCTGGCTGGCTTCACAGCAGATGCTTGGGGTTTGTGGAGCATCTGCAGAGCGTCAGTATTTTTGTTTTGTGTGCAATGATTAGAGATGCAGCTTAAACTGTATTCTGCCATGTACTATCTGAATTCTCTCTCTTTTTTTTTACATAAATCCCAACAAGTAAAACGTTTTGGGGTCATCATGCTAATGTTATATAAGCAACAGTATAGTTTCTATTTGTAGGAGTTATGTYGCAGAGATTTATAATGTTATTATGGAAGAAGCATGTTCTCAAGAATGACTTTAATTATCATATTATATATTTACCTCACTGCTCTTACATCACACACCTTAAATGCTGTAATTAAATTCCAGCTTGTGTGTAAATTGTCCCTCAGGATCTCTAATGTTTCTCCTCACTCTAAATGATCTAATCATGTCGTTGTCAGCTGACTTGCTTCATGCAAACACACTCATTAATTTTTTTATGGGGCCCGTTTGAACACATCAGAGTGACATCGTGTCCTGTTTCATCCCTGTAGGTTCATGTGGGCACCTCCCATCAGGAGCAAAGGGTTGTGGGATACCTCACGTGCACGCACCTCCACGCCATTGAAGGTAAGGCAGCATTGGGTCTTTGTGTGACAGCAGGGTTTTCTCAAACATTTCAGCTTCATGTTTGTGCCTGTATGTGCTGACGCTCGGACAAACGAGCGCGTCAAAACCCACGTGTACCTCATCCTGCTGTTCCCATGGTGACTGCCTCAAGCTGTTTAAGGCGTCACAGCCCTATTTAAAGCCTCCGGTCAAAGCCACGCTCATTTTTTACCAGAGACACATCTACCACCACCCCCCACCACCCTTTCTCTTTTTGCCTGCTATTCTGGGCTTGTCCCACGCTTGTTGTGGGCCTAAATATAGCACAACCAGTGTCGTTTCAAAAGATACAACCAAGATAAACCCCTCAAAGGTGAGAGGGGTTGGATGGAGTCAGGGAAAACAGGGAGTGAAACAAATGAGAGACCTGAGGGAAAACAGAGCTGTGTGTGATGTTCATGATGCAGAAGAACTGATAACTGGAGCTAAAACTGTAACAGCTGCCTGGGCTTATGAGCGGCTTTAGTTTTAGTGTAGTGCAGGTGTGCAGGAACAGCTGGTGTTTCAGGCGTTTAACACATCTGTCACTCCTCTGACATCTATGAACTTAAAGCCGAGGTTTATCCCTGCAATCACCTTTATTTAAGATAATTATGTAATTTTGCAGAACTTTTGTAATTTTGAGAAAAAGATATCTTAACGCTTTCTGAGGCAAGAAATAAATGCTATTAGATAGATAGATAGTTTATTGTCATTGTAGGAGCCATTTATCCTTTCTGGTGTTTATTGCCACCAGGGGGCGTATTTAATTTTGAGTTCTGAGTGTCTGATGGGGGGATGGGTTATTTAAGGTCAACCATGATTCTGTTCAGGTGTTAATAGGTAGAGGCAAATAGTTTTCTACTGTGCTTGGTTTTGGATGTATGTCGAATTTATGTGGATCTTAAGGGAAACAGTGAGACAATGGACATTGTACTGAAAATAAATGACTTTATTTTATGTCAAACGGAAGATCGGCATGCTGAATCTTAATTGAGCGCACGTAAAACCAATGCCTTTCAAGAACAACCRCCAGTAGCCTAAAATATAGGATTTTAGCCGCTACAGTCATTGTACAGAGCACAATGAAATGACAGTTCAGAACATCCATTCAGAAGAAGACAGAACATAACAAACATAGGAGAACAGGTGCTCTGGGTCATGCTGCCACTGACCCTGCACAAAGCAAGGATCATCTGAAAACATCATGAGGAGGCACAACCCTTAACATAAAAACTAAAAACCACACAAATTATACAATTATGATAATTGCTTTTGATTATTTGCAAGTATTTTTCATTTTATATTTATTTATATTAAATAAATACTTCCCAAATAGTTAGCCAGATTGGTGTTAGTGAGCCAACAGCCTGAAATAAATCGTTCTTACTTTTTTTTTCTCCACACATTTTTCTTATATTAAACGTTTTCCACACCCAGGCAAATGTACAATAAGCACGCCCTCAACGTCATCAAGTTTAGTCCATTGTAGAAGCATTTAGTAAAACATACAAAAATATGCAAATGTAAAACAAATTAAAATAAAATTTTCAGATGTACTTTAGCTGCAGCCAGGAGTAATCAAAGACAAAACAACCTTCTCACCCTTCAATATCCTGACACCTCTGTGTTTCTCACATTCTCATCTATTCATCTGTTCTCTCTCATGATCTCATCCGTCGCCTCCCTCTGCTCACCTCCTTCCCTCCGTACCTAACGACAGTTTATCAGATTCTCTGGCTGCAGTGGACTGATGCAAACGCTGCCAATGAAAGAGACTCAGTATTGTCACTAATATTAGTAACACCACAAGTAAACTAACAAACTGTATCAACTTAGGAAGATATGAAAACAAAAGAAAGAGCCCTCTGGATTAGCCTGTTTTGGTGAACAATGTTCCGACTTCAACATGCTTTGTTGTTGTTCCATGTTCCTATCCAGGCGATGCATCAGTCCGCTGTGAGCAGCTGGACCTGTTGCTCCAGTGGGGGGCCGAGTTTCGTCAATCTGCATCTCAACCACCTGAAGGAGAGAAGGTTCTGGAAGACCTGGTGGCCTTTGATGTCATGCTGGGAGACCTGAACTTCGACAACTGTTCTTCAGGTGTGCAGAGCTTTTGAATCGGTGCATTTCAGATCATTTTCTCTCATTTATAACCGGTCCACATGGAAACACGAGGCAGGATTCTGTTCTCAGTGTCAGCAGAGGAATGTGGAGACCCAGCCGTCTCACACTGTGAGATATTATTATAAAATATTAATGATTCGAGCATGAATAATAAAACCTTATAGAATTGAACTAGAGCGTGTAATATTGTTATTAACTCCAGGGCTTTTAATTTGAAAAACAAACTGAGAGGTGTTTACAGTTCTTGATTGTATTTTACACAACAGCACATACATACATACATACATACATACATACATACATACATACATACATACATACATACATACATACATACATACATACATACATAAAAAGATATTAGCATTTTGACTGAACTCAATGCCTTCATTACTGCAAACAAAGCCCTGATTTATCCATCTGTTTCTCACTCTATCCTTCCATCACTTGTGAATAAGATATTTTAATTCCTCTGCTTGAGGCAGAAACTCCCATTGACACAGTTTTGGTTACTTTGAGAAAACTGTTGACTTTGTCTTTTTTTTTCCAGAGGACAAACTGGAGCAGCAGCATGCACTTTTTACTCAATACAAGGACCCGTGTCGCCTGGGGCCAGGGGAGGACAAACCATGGGCTCTGGGTGATGCATCACACACACACACACACACACACACACACACACACACACACACACACACACACACACACA